TATATATATATATTGTTCTTTAAGGCTGTTAATTCATGAAACTATTTTTTTGTCTGAAGTTATCACAACTTTAAACTCAAACAGAAAAACGCCAGCCCCAGTTTGCACAATTATGAGCTTCACACATTTTGCAATATATCGAACACAATTATCTGCTTTAGGCACAAAAAGTTTGTGCACTTCTTTGCTGTTTCAAATCATTGATGTGTAAAATGACCACACCTGTGAAACAAAAGGTTAAACACATCCACCAGCAGTGCAAAATTATATAAGATTAATTGACAATGTAAAAGTATTCTGTTGACGGAGTTGTGGTGAATTTCAATAGGCAGGCTCTTCCCATTTTATCATTTATGAGTTTGCCACATCCGACTATATGACTGACAGGTCCTAGAGGTAAATAAACTTAAAAACTGTCAAATCTGCATGTTGTAGTCAGGACACAAGGATAACATTAACTGCAATGTTTAAATATTTAAGATAAGGTGTGTTTGTGTGTTCAGGGTCTGAAGCTGGGTTTATATTTTATTTGGCATAATACACCATGACAGCGACGTGTTCTTCGGCCACCTGCACGCCTCATCATGGACAAGTGCATGTGTCTGCTGGTGTGGACTTGGAGAACAACATTCTGGGACTTCCCCACAGGCTGCGACCAGCTTTCAGACAATTTAGAAAGATTAAAATGATGCACAGCTAAGTGGGAGATTCACAGATGGATTTTCTTTCTTGTATGTTCAAATAAAGCCTTGTAAGCTAACAAGTAATTTCTCTCTTTGATTACTAACTTACACAGTGATTATGATTAAAGCAAATCATCTTAGCCCTGTAAAATGCAACTGGTTGCTCCAAATTGTGTATCAATCACCTCCCAGGCCCTTTTTAACTGTTTTTAAAGGTTTTTAGTTGTTTTCAGATCTACTGTTCTTCATTCACTTGGTTTTTGGTTGTTTTGAGTGGTTTTCAGTCCTCCTAGGCCGCTTTTAACTGGTTTTTGAAGGTTTTATTTGTTCTCGGCCCTCCTAGACCTTTTTCACTTGGTTTTTTGTTGTTTTGATGGGTTTTCAGTCCCCCTAGGCCCCATTTTGCTTGGTTTTAGGTAGTTCTGAGGGATTTCAGGCCTTCCTTCAATTCCAAGGCACACTTGGGCAAGCCCCTTTTAAATTTCTTCTGAAATTTTCTAGTTTTTTAAATATTATTATTGTAAAAATGATCTGTTTTCAATTGTGTGCCTTGTCCTATGTAAACACCTTTTAAAACTGCATTTGACCTGTTGGTAAATTTAAACATCAAATATCCAACTGTTGCATTAAAAAGTAATTTTTTAGTCACTTTGAGTCGCGGCCTGCATGAATTGAATAAGTGGCTGAATCCATTCACTTAATTGGCTTAAACGGCAGAAAATAATTAGCTTGTTGGAACATTGGGTCAAGAGAGAGGAGCGGGCAGGAAATATCTCTTTTTGTCTCACTACCGGTGTAGAGCAACCAGTGTGTGTGTGCTGTGCAGCTAAAAAAGCAGTGAGTCATAGAGCAGTGTGAACTTTGATCAAATCACTCTTGAAAAGGCTTGTAACTAAAGCAGAACCAGATGACGCAGATCAGCTTACACCGACTGAGGCATGACTTACACCTCATTGTGCTCATGTAGATGTGTGTGTGTTGCTTCATGTCTTGTGCGCACACTGTTTGATGTATTTTGGGGGAAGAAGTGTTGTATCTGTTGATTTTGCCCAATAAAACTGAAGTGAATTGTTTTTTGTAGACATTTTAAGGACCATCTTAGGTGAGTTTTAAGACGGTATGTGTGTAAATTCCTTGAACTCTGACTAATTGTTACATTAGATATTTGATAAACATTTACTTCAACTATATGTTTAACTAGAGAAATTGTATTTCCTGCGAAAATACTAGTGTGAATGCCTGTAGCTGAAAACTTTAGCTGAAAGCTGCTGAAGAAGCTGAAATTGAGCTGAACATGTTGTTAAACATGAAAAGCTGAACTAATTTTAAAAAAGCAGAAAAACAGTTAAAAGGAGCAAAAATATGGCTGAATTAGCATAAAAGCTAAAAGCTAAAGGCTAAAATAGCTGAACACAGCAGAATGCAACTGTAAGAAGCATAAACAGCACGAATTAGCAGAAAAAGGATAACAAAGCAGAAAAACACAGAACAATAGAAAGAAGAAAAATTTTAGCTGATTTAGCAGCAAAAAGCTAAAGTTAGCAGAAAAAAGCTAAAAGTAGCAGACTCAGGTTGAAAGTTGCACACAGATAGTGAAATGGATGTAACAAATTCAAAATTAACAGAAAAATACATAAAACTACTAAAAAAAATCATTTGAAGTAAAACAGGTGAAAAAGCCGACGTTTTTAGTAAAACAGCTAAAAAGTAGCTGAAAACGTTTTAATTAGCATAAGGATGCATAAGGAGCACAGGTTTGTTGAATTTAGCAGAATTCAGTTAAAATTGCTCCAGAAAATGTGTGATTAACATAGAAAGCTAACTGTGGCTAATAACAGCTAAAATTTAGCTGAATTTGTAGCAAATAGCTGAATATAGAAGAAAGCAAATGTAAGAAGCATACATAGCACAAATTAGCAGAAAAAAGTATAACAAAGCAGAAAAAGGCAGAAGAATAGCAGAAAGAAGTAGAATTTTAGGTGAAATAGCAGAAAAAAGCTAAAATTAGCAAAAAAGTAGCTAAAATTTGCACAAGACAATAATATAGCACATAATCAGAACAAATTGTGTAAGGTCTTATAAAGATTTAGAAACTATTTGAAGGATTTTAAGGTTGTTGAAAATAGCCCCATTCAAGGTCAATGGGAAAAAAGTGGCTAAAAAGTTGAAATAGCTAAAAAAGTAAAAATAGCTGAAATGCCAAAAGTCATAGCTGGCATTGCACGAAAGAGCTGAACGTTTTGATATATGAATTGTTGAAGTAGCACAAAAATTGTGGAACGAGAAAGGTGCCGAAAAATGTACGGAAGAAAAAATTATCTCAATGGTTGAGATTAATTAATGTACAGAAACATCTGTGCAGAATACCAACTGGAGATCCCAGGGTCAAAGTGGGAGCCAACTCCCAAGGTGGTGGAGAATGACTGAGCTAAGATCCTGTGGGACTTCCAAATACAAACAGATGAAATGGTAATGGCCAACCAACCGAACATTGTGATAATTAAGAAGCAGCAGACAGCCATTGTGATCGATGTGGTCATCCCAAATGATGGAAACATCAGGAAAAAGGAACATGAGAAACTGTAGAAATACAAAGGGCTCAGAGAAGAGCTAGAAAGAGCCTGGCAGGTGAAGACAACTGTAGTGCCTGTGGTCATTGGAGCACTCAGGGCACTGACCACCATGCTGGAGAGGTGGCTTCAACAGATACTTGGAGAAACATCAGACATCTCAGTCCAGAAGAGCGCAGTCATATGAACAGCTAAGATACAGCGAAGAACCCTCAAGCTCACAGGCCTCTGGTAGAGGACCTGAGCTGGAGATGAAGAACCACCCACTAATGGATGACAGAGTAGTTTTTAGTTTGTTTGTTTTTTAAGTATATATAGTCACACACAGATGTTGCCATTTCATTTACGCCGCAAAGCAATCTGAGTAAATAAAATAAATGTAATGACATGTGCAGAGTTGTAGATTTTCTCTAAAAGAAAACCCAGTTTTACTTGCGTGATGAACAAAAACAATCTGTGTCTTCTGAGGGCCCAGAAAAGACCCCAGCCAGGTTTTAATACCAGTGTCGATGTTACTGCACTCCTTGTTCCTACACTTTCAATCATCAAGACATTTGATCATTTTGAGCTATTTCACAGTTTTCACAAACTGTGAAACAAAACTTTGCGGGACTTCACTCTATATATCTTCTACTATTTTCAGGTAAGTAAAATGGAGGTCCAGTCTTAAGGAACATAAACATTAATTTGAAATCAGCAGCACAGCAACAACTTTGTGGTCTTATCTACAGCCAAGCCTTTTTTTGTTTTACATACCAGCATGTCACACATAACTACTGTAGCTCAATCATGACAAGTTAGCTCCAGAGCTAAATTGCTGAACATTCCTTTTGATTGTTTCAACGCATATATAGTGCAGAACATAGACACTGATACAAAATAAAACTTTATTATCACACATTATGGCCTTTTAGCCTTGACACTTTCTGTTTTAGTCTCAACTGTAACCTATCATCATTATCCCCAGAATGCACTGTAATTTAAAAAAATGGTGACATGCTTAAGTGGCATTTACACATTTTTAAGTAATTAAATATTTTCATGTGTCACAAATGACAGTGTTTAGAATACAGAAATCACATATTAAGGCAAATGTGCGAGTAGTCTGAGATCCCTTTAAAAAGCCTGAGGCAGGTTATAAAACCAGCATACTGGATAGTAAACCTTCAAACCTCCAAACCTTCAAGTCATAAACAGACTTGCTTTACACAAAATTCAAATCAATCTAATTAGTGTTTCTAAGTAAACAACTCAAAGAAAATTTCAGCCGGTAGAGAACATCCCCTGGGATGTTCCCTGACCTTGAGCTGAAAGGTCAATGCACACAAAAGAGCTGGAAACAGAAGCAACCAATGCTGTGTTTGTGTTCCTGTGTGAGAGTACAACATGCTCGTGTGTGGCTTTCATGGAACGGTATCCTTCGACTACTGTTTTTGATTGAACTTTATCTCAATTTTGGATCTTTTGGACACTGGTCAAAGCTGCTGCCTGTTACGAAAAGCACAGAGGCCAAACTAGAACAGCAAACAGCGAGCCAACATAATCAGTGAGCAGAAAGAAATTAAGAAACACAATCTTGGTTTATTTACATGTTTTTTTTCTGAAGCAAAGCTAATGCTTATACAGTTAAAGACCTAGCATTTCATGCAGGAACGCCCATTGCCCGCTGAATTTCTTGCAGCATTTTAGACTTTGTTGTAGATGTACGCACATTCTTGTGCACTATAACAAGATCTTATTCTCAGAGTACAGATTGTGAAAGACTCAGTTACCACCGCATCAAATCTTAACTCGATTTCTGTAAAAATGACAAAGTTATATTAATTTTTATGTTTTCTATTGTTAGCAGGCAGTGGTGGCCATCTTGAATTAGGCTGACTCCAATTCATGGATTGCAGCTAACGTAGACCGCGGCCCATGTTGGCCACACCGTACGTGGGCTATTTGCTGCTCATGTAGGCTGCATAAACGAATGTGAAATGAGACGTTCTAGTCTGTGGAAGATGGATGTTTGCGTGACCACGCGCTGCCCCGTTACCACGGTTATACTTTTTATGTCGCATCCCTTCAGTTGTTTTTCTACTGTATAGCTTCACAAAATTCAGTATTATCTGAAAAACGTTACACGTAAATTAATAAAAAGCATTCGTAATTTGGGTTTAGCCCTGGTATCAGTACTTGTAACTGCATATTATTTAAAATCTCATTGCAGCAAAAAAAAAAAATCAACTAAGTTACTAAACATACTGTGAAAAACAAATTCTTCGATCTATAATAAATTTACAAACTCTGTCGTAAAAAAAATCTGCCATAAATAAAAAAAACTCAGCTGTATTTGTTTTTCTGTTTAATTTGCAAGAATTCTGGGACACCATCGGCTGCAGAGGATACTCAGATCCAGCCTACGTGCAGGAGTAGGTGCCTATGATTTGGGACAGTCTGTGATGTGGTGCAGTGATTGACATAAGTGGCAGACAAATAGGACCAACATCGGCTGCAACCCCTAAATTGAAACACATCCTATAAGGTCAATGAACTGTAGATGTTGTGGACTTTTCAAGAGTTTCATCAAAGTCCAGCCAGTAGTTCATGAGGTATTTTATTTTTTAACAGACA